CCCCGCCCCCCCCCCCCCCCCCTTCAGAATGTCTTGGTTTGGCTAAACTTGAGTGACTTTTCATAGGGAGGAAAAGCTTTCCTGTTGATTCCTGGTGAGAAAATAGATGGCTTGCTGTTGAAAGGGGGAGGTCTTGTTCCTGAAAGCACTCACCTTCCTTTTGCTGTCTCCAGCTCCTGTCTGATTGCACAGTAAGACAGTTCAACTTGCTAATGCTGCTAAAAATGGCTCTTCAAAAATTTTTTGGGGTAAGTCTTTTGCTGTTTTAGCCGGTTGAATTGGTTTACTGTGCAAGCAGGTAACTGCCAAAACCAGTGTAAGGTAAACAGTTGAAATGTATTGGGACTGTGGGACTAGAATAAGGGAAGGGATTTTGAGACTAAGAGGGAAGAGTGAGAGACCTCTCCCTTTCCGTAGCAGCAGGCTACCCCATCTGTAATTAATGTGTATAGACCAAAGTAGTCTGAAACCACAGCACACTGAATTTCAGGTTCTTACTCAAGAGTTGCTATAGTTATTGATAAACTTCTATAAGAAGGTATATATGGATATCCTTGCCTTCTCTTTGGAAAGAGCTTCTGTTCCAACTTAAAATTGTGTATCAGTCTGAATACATTGCTTAAATCCTCACGGTTCAGTTTTCAGTTGGCATTGATAAAATTTTTGAGCAGCTTAATTACAGGGAGAAATACTGATCTACCTGTACTATCATTTGTGTTTTTTTAAGCCTTTTATTACACAAAAGTTGTGGTGATGACTAATGTGGCTCTAACTTGTTACCTTAAACTAAAACACTGGCAACTGTGGTAAATGTATTATTATTGCGCGTGATTTCTTGCTATCTTGTAGTCTGAATGATTATGTTAGCCTTAAAGTGGTTTTGTCATGTGGTCGCTGTTTTTGTGATGGTTAGATAGTGTTTTACTTATGCTCTCAGCAGATACAGTTCATTACACAAGATTGTACACTTCAAGATGTATAACTACACAAATCTTACATTTTCAGCTTTCCTCTACCTTATTCACACAAATCTATTTATATATATCTATCAGAATTGAAGAAGTGCTGTAATATAACTGCTGATTATCTCCATTCTTTCAGTCTGGAATCGAGCTGTTTGTGAACAGGCTTGACTCTGTAGAGTCTGTCCTTCCCTATGAATATACTGCGTAAGTATATTATACTGTTTATGTCATTCTAGTTGTCAGCTTTTCCAAAAAGATTAATTTAATTTATCTTGAAATATTATCCGCATCTTGCTACAGCAGTTTGCCAGTGAGGGATGTCTATTTATTTTGCTAACGTAACTTTACAAATATAGAATTTTCAACAAGCAGACAGATGCACGCATTGCTTCCTTCTTCTCGGTTGCATTCGCTTATACTTCAGAAGTAGTGCGTGGATTCATAGGCCCTCGTATAGGTAGAATCACTGCTTTAGAGTAACTTAAGGTTAAAGTTGTGTGTGTGTGTGTGTGTGTGTGTTTGTGTGTGTAATATTTACTCTTCTTCATTAGTTGTCATTTTAGAGATCAAAGTATTACTGCTGTCTTTAGTAGCCTATAGCCCGATGAGTTAAAGTGGTAATGAGGTGTGAACTTCCCATCAATTATCTTAATGAGGTGTTAAATGTTTTCTTGGTACACATCATAGGAGCCCACAAAATGTATCAGTGCCTGGTACAACTATGTAAAGTTGTTCCTCCAAAGAATGTTTTCACTGTTAATATCGAAGAGGTTAAACACTAAGTTATGTCTACACTTTAATGAACACAAATGTGATATACTTGAAATTAGGCTGCAAAAACTTGGAGGATGTGCTATTAAATGTGTTGGTGAATAAAACTGCAATAACCTGTTTATTTAATAGTGCTTGTTGTAAAGGACCTGTCTGTATGTGTGTGTGTATTTTTCTTTGTTTTGTTTTTTTTGTTGTTAGTTTTTTTTCTTTTATTATCCTCCCCACCACCACGCCCCCCGCATCTGGCCTGCATGCTTTTCTCTCTGAGCTGTCATGAAACTCTATGTGAAGGTTTAATTCTTGGCTAAAATTCCTGTTCAAATAGGAAACCTGTAATTACTTAGGGAAGCTTTTATGTTACCGTGTTTAATATCAACTGAGTTCTGAAATAGCTGATGAAGAGATTTGATTGTTGGTTTTATTTTGTTTTTTTCAAAACAGGACTGTGATTTTCACGCTTTGCAGGTTCAAGGAAGAAACTGTTGTCTAGAAGGAAAGCTGTATAGTTTCTTTACTTGTGATGAAGGTGTTGATTTGGGAGCACTGTTTGAGGTCTAATATTTGCAGCTGAGAATATTTTATTAAATTCCGTATCTTTTCTCTAATTCAGGTTTGATTTTTGTCAAGCAGAAGGAAAGAAGCGTCCCTCTGAAAACCTTGGCCAAGTGTTGTTTGGAGAGAGGATAGAACCGTCTCCTTACAGGGTTTGTTTTCCGACAAGGGGTTTTGGTAATATGTATCTTCAAATGTAACCAAAGGAGATCAGAATCTTGAAGATCCTCTTCACAAGGACTTTATCTCAAAGAGCTTCAAAATCTGAAATTCCACATAATAGAAATCTGTCAATTTAACCTAATTGTAACTAGGCACTTTGCATCATGAAGCTGTAGCCTGAAGTGCTGTGGAGGTTGTCTTCTCTCTTTGGAACCTGCCAAAACTTGATTCTTGCTCCTCAGCTGTCCCCTTGTTAGAGGCAATTGAGTACTCTTATTTCTTGGAACCAGATCTGAAAATACTGTGGCTGTAAAATGGAAGAATTAGAAATGGTGTTAGCCAGCTTGTCTTTTCTGGTGACTGAAGCTCTCGTCTTCTCCCCTACCTGCAGTAGGAGAGAAAGTTACCGATTGAATCTGTCTGGGACAGCATTGCTGCTGTGAGGTCAAATGACTTGTCTGGTAAATCATTGCAGAAAACTGGTTTTGATTAGTAACAAGGAGCTCTTAGTGCAGAGCTCCTACAATGAGTGTAGGAGGGGTCTGTAGCCCACACCAATATAAAAAACCTCCTCTGAAGGGTTAATATACACAGTCTTGGTAATTTGTTAGGTGTTTTTATTATTATTATAAGTATAGGGGATTATAAATCGTAGAATCATAGAATGCTTTGGGATGGAAGGGACCCTTAAAGGTCATCTAGTCCATCCCCCCTGCAATTGGCAAGGACATCTACAACTAGAGCAGGTTGCTCAGAGCCCCATCCAGCCTGGCGTTGAATCTTTCCAAGGTTGGGGCATCTACCACCTCTCTGGGCAACCCGTTCCAGTATTTCACCACCCTCATTGTAAAAAAATTTCCTCCTTATATCCAATCTCAATCTACCCTCAAATGTATAGGGGAAACTTGTTACCCCTCAAAATGCATAGGGGAAACTTGTTAAATACTGAAATGACACAAACTTTGTTACAACCTTTTTGCTAATAGATCTTTCATTTTTCTTAGTTCACATTCAAGAATAAGGAGACATGTAAATCTGTTTGTACAAAAACGTATGACACCTCAAAGCCAGAGGATAAACAGAAATTAGACTTTTTGAAAAAAAGTATGCTACTGAATTATCAACATCATTGGTAAGTTGATGCTAAAATTCATAGACTGGTTAGTCTAGTATGTTGGTGATAATTTAGTTTATCTTTGTATTTGCAAGTTAATACGGATTGAACATTAGGTATTTGCACTGAATCTATTACCCTTCTGTTCTTGCAAAAGATGTTATATTGTTTGTTGTCTTCGTAAAAAAATTTAGTTCACTTGAAGGATAAGCACCAGGTCTAATGGAAATGAGCCTGTTTTCAAACATAAAGCTTTGTGTAGTTTTTGTGCCGCCTCTGTGCTTACTGTAAAATACTGCTATTTCTTTGCACCTGTAAATGTTAATCCTGCCCTAGCTTGAGAAGAGTCTTAAGGAACCTTTATTCTATTGCTGTATTGTCTTTGTTTTCCTTGTGAGACTTTGCACTTCTAGTATTTGTTTTTTTGCTAGGCCCACTGCCCTAAAACTTTAGAACCAGTGGCATGAAGAATCCCTGTTTATGTTTGTTATGGTAATGATAGTACCCCTCAGGCACAGCTTTACAAAGTGGAAGTGGCTGGATTTTGTGATGAATGATGCATTGGTCCAGGAATATGGTCCAGGGGTATGTTGTACAGGGATCAGCAAGGTAGCGTAAGTGAGGATTTAATAGAGGTTTATTATCCAGCTTCAATTTATCATAAAATTCCTGGAGAACGCGGATGGTGCAAAGTACTTTTAAGGTTTTAAAAGCCACTTAATAAGATTAGCACTTGACATACTGATTTGAACTCAACAGCTATACTGATATCTTGGCTGACAATGTTCTTCACCAGATGTTCTTGAGAGGCATATAAGAACACTGTTGTACAGCGTATTTGCCCCACACATATAATCTCTTCAAGTCATTCTAAATTTGAAGATTAACTGTGAAAAATGATTCGCTGCTTAAACTATCAATTTGTTCCAGCATTGCTGCTTGAAGGCAGCTCAGTATATCTTTGCTGTAGAAGATGCAAGGGAAGGCCTTTATCCCAACCAAACTCTTTAGCAGTAGGTTAGTGCTTCACCTGGTTTTGATTATGAAATGAAAATACTAACAAAAGCAAGAGCTCTCTCTAGCATATATTATGGAGGTAAATTCCAAATATGGTCCAAGCGTAATGAATCTGCATCTGGAATAGCTTCTAATCAGCGACTTAATTCTGCCCCATAGTAGCACGGTGAAACGAGTAGGATTTGGTTGGTGCTGCTGCTGTTTGCAACTCTGTGATAGTCTTTGGAATCTCCCGAGAACCTGGAAACTGTGTTTTTGGAGGGCCTGTCATCACCTCTTCCACTGTGTCAGTACCAGCCATGACCATTGCTACTTATTTCTGTCTGGGAGCTAATGGTAGGGATGATGTAGATCTCCTTATGGTTTGTGAACAAAGGCACCACATACCACTCTTTTTACCCCCATCTATTGATGTGCTTTAAAAAATAGTGCTACTTCAGAGACTGTTACAATACACAACGAACTAAATAATGCTTCATTGTTTTCTGAAGTCATAATTCCTGTGCTTTATTAGGTATTAAAAAGTACCTGATGAGGTATTATCGGGTATGAGGTGGTTAGCATTAATAGCCTAGTGGTTGTAATTATGAGACATTTCATTGTAAAGGCGATTCAGTACCTTCATATGTTTTACAAAAACACGTGTTGATAAGTTTCAGTGGGATGTCCTTTTTTTGGTCTAGTGATGCACAAAAAGTGGCAGTTGTCTCGTGTCTTCACGTGTGAAGTTTATTAATAGACCTTTAAAAACATACCCTGAAGCAACCGATGTTGCCCTAAGGGCAGCTACTGAATTTTAAGTTGTCTTTGAATGACTTTATTTTGGGATTTATCTTTCAGCTAGTTAAAACACTTCATAACATAAAGAAACAGGTTTGAGGTTTTTTAGTAGTTCTTTTTACAAAGGGACAGGTGACCATGTTCGGTATCTTTCTCTATGTTTAAAAGTATATTTTGGTTTTTGACATTTGTACTGTTTGTAGCATGTTGGATACTGTTTGTATCTTATTGTCTTATGATTTTCCACAACTCCTCATGGGGGTGTGGCATTCCTCTACAAATTTTTCATTGAAACTGAACTATAAACCTACTGGGCTAAGGACTTCTAGGTAATATGAATATAAATCTTGTGAGACAATAATGTAAAGGCAGCAGGTAAACAATAGAGGGAGGCTTGAAAGTGATTACTTTCCCAAACGTGGCTTATAATTTTTTTCTCATGTAAACCATCTAGTTAAAACATTCCATACTCTCAGGGAACTGCAGCTGAGGTCAATGGTCAGGAATTAACTTAAATAGCAAAAAATACCCCAACAAACTTGCATGTTAGCTTTAATACAAAATAAAAGTTTAGAGAGTGCCATGAAAAGCATATTTTGTGATGGAAGAGCAATAAGGAAGCTGGAGAATTAATAATACGTATGGGTGTATAGGCAAAATTTTTTTATTTTGTGTTTTGTTTTAAACTTGAAATTACCAAGTTCATTTTAGCTGATTTAGTGGATACTTTTGGCCGTTTTTAAAAGACAAAATAATGAAACGTTAAATTGTTAGGACTTTGGAGTGGTAGAGTTTTTTATATATTGGGCTATATTTGTAAGGGGACTTCAGAAACCAGTCCAGTGAATAGAATGTTTTGGTGGTCACAGAGTAAGCGTCCTATTTCCAAGCCACTTTCTGAAGAAACAGACTGATTTTTTTTTTTAAATGTATTGTTTTTCTAAAAAAGATAAAGTTTCAGTTGAATAGCTAGATGCTTGTATCTCATTTGGAAATTGTATTGGCAATCAGTGCAATTCCATGGGTTAAAATCTGAAAGAAGTATTATTCTTGTAGTTAATCTTCCAATAAGGAATGTAGCAAAGATAGATTAATATTAATCTGGTTTTGTTTCCATTATACTGTGTATTTTGAAAGATTGTGAAATGTCACTGTGCCACTTACAGGATTGTGGACAACATGCCTGTGACCTGGTGTTATGATGTTGAAGATGGCCAGAGGTTCTGCAATCCTGGTTTTCCTATTGGCTGTTATATTACAGAAGATGGCCGTCCAAAAGATGCCTGTGTTATTAATGTATGTTTAAGCAATTATTTTTTTTTAATATCCCCTTTTTGCTAATTTAAAGACTGGCATTTCTCCTATGTCCTGTTTCTATGGTGAGTCCTCACTCTCTTAAGAACCCTTGTTGTCTAAAACTAGATGAGTGTTTTGGTATCTCTGCAAGTATCACAATTTGTAAGCCTCATCTAAGCCTAAGAACTTTGTGTCTTCTGCCGCATAATGCAGAAGGGCTGTAAAAGATACAGGGAAGCAATGAATGTGCATAGCGTTTAGTACCTGTAAAGGGTGAAGGAGGACAAAAACATGTCATCCTTCATTGCCTAGGAAGTCTAAACATTCAAAGGCTTGGACTTTACATTTTTGTGGGATAGAAATGTTTTCATGGAAGCAGGTTTGCATAGACATGTTTGTACTTCTGCATGGAAATTAATACTTCTTGAAGGATTGCTTTCGCTAAAACTGTGTGGGCCAATGGAAGAAGGCAGAATATAAGATTTCTGAGTGAACAAAGTTTCTCCGGTGAGAGACAGATCTATCATTAACTCGTGGAGGTCCAGATAAATGCCCTGAAAGTATTATGGAGATAAGAATGCAATAGAAAATGCAGGATGTCTTTAGATTATCACAGACCTCTTCTGTGGAGAGGTCACTGAGAACCTGGAATAGGTTTTTGGTTTTACCGAAATTGTTGGTTTTACTTAATGGATCTTACGAAAGACGACAGTTTCTGCAGTTTCTAATTTTGTTTCCTTTCCTCCATAATGAATTGGTTTCAGAGGCTCCATATGAATGGACACTGGAAACACATTTATGATCAAATATGTAATCTGGCAGTATTCTTTTAATCTTGTTTAAATACTTGTTTTTAATAGAAGGAAAATAACCTTTGAAGGCATAACTGAAGGACTGTAGAAGAACACTTTGTTTATATAACTATCCTTATAATTAGGGTGCTTTGTAGAAAGGAGTGTGGATAGAACCCTGAAGAAGTACTAATCGAACTTCAGTAGACATAATGCTTGTGATTTAACAACCTCTTTAACTGACTAAATTCCAAGCTGTTGTTTCCCTTCACCTGAGATTTGTATTCAGCATTCTTGGCTGCTGCTTGTAGTTCATCCGTGTGCGTCTTTGGTTTCAAATGTCACGGTGGTTCTGTCACAGAGAGCAATTATTTGCATTGTTTGTCTTGGGAGGTTCTGTTTAATCTATGAAAAATATGTATGTTGTTTTAAAATAGCTGATGTTTATGAAATGCTTCTGATATGAAAGTTGTCACATAGTTATTTATTCAGTTTGTTACTTCAATTAAATAAAATGGGACATCTTCAGTTACTGAAATATTTTAATAAATATATTTACAAATTTCATATTTAAATACGTTTTTCTACTTTTCAGCTGTAGTCGACAGTTCTTAGCATTAACTTTTCTAGTTTGTCTTTTTAATGCAAGGCTTTAATGCAGAGACTCTCCTGATCTTTGTATTCCCAGAATCCCGCATTCATCTTGTAGGAGAACTTCTTGACAGAAAAACTGTACACAGTCTAAAATTTTGTTATGTAAGCTTCTGCCTAAGGCTTTTAAATGTCTTTATGTTTTTGATTATTTAATACCATCTTTTATCATTGCAGTCAGAATTTCGTGAAAAAGATACTTTTTATATCTTCAACCATGTTGACATAAAAATATATTACCATGTTGTGGAAAATGAAGCTCTGGGAGCAAGACTAGTTGCTGCTAAACTTGAACCAAAAAGGTTAGTACGCGGGAATAACTTGTCATCAAACAGTGGTCCATCCTAAGATACTTGCTTTGATTTGGGGACCTGTTGCTAGTCAGAAATGTTTTCAGATGTGACCTGTAGATTAGCTTTCCTGTTGATTGATGTAGTCTAATATAGGACAGTCTAACAAAATTTTGTTCTGAATTCGATAGATCTTTGTGCACTATTTCCTATTTGGGCCAAAAAAAAGATAAAATAAAACCTGGAAGTGGTATCTGTTCAGTGAAGCAACCCTCATTTCCTTACTGGGGAACATTTTGTCTTGTGACGGAATAGGCCACGAGTGCCTCAGGCAGGAGTAATCAGAGTGCAACATTTGATGTCTTCAGCAATCAGGATTTGAATGGAATGGTTTCGCAAATATACTTGTCAGTTGTTCTGGTGTCTGTGTGGCTTTTGTACAACTGATGTCTCGTTTATTATTTCTTAGCATCTTCTCTTTCCTTTCTTTTGTATTCTTGGTATAACTGAGCTTGTTGCATTGTTGGTCCAGCATCATGATGAAAGTATTTTTTTCTGACAGAAGTTAGTAATTCTGTTGTTGTAACTTTTTGAGTGTTTTGGAGGTTCTTAGCAGTACTCAGACTAATTTTTGGTGCTCAGCTTTAGAGACTGTGCTCTCTATAGTTTTCTTTTTAGAAGAGACAACTATTGTTTAAAAAGTTCAATTATCAAAAAGGCCTGTGCTTATGATACATTTCTCATGAGTTCTGAAATTTATGAGGCATTAAGAACAATTTTTATATTTAAGAGAAGAATGCTGGATGAAACTGATGCTTGTGTAAGATGAGTGAATTCTTTCTTAAGGGTGTTGTCATTGAAGCAGCTTTCATTCTGTGTTTTTTCTTCCTGCAGTTACAAGCATACTCATCCAGACAACCCTGATTGCTCAGGGGTACCTATGGATATAAGTAATAAGGCTAACGGAGAAGTCAAAATTGCTTACACATATTCAGTTTCTTTTGAAGTGAGTACTAAGCTTTCTGTGGTAGTTACCTCTTAAGATCCTGCATTAATACTCTGAATTATAAAGATGGACAACTAAAATTATCTCAGAATAGTAGATCTGTGGTTTTAAAACTTTATTTGATCTGGAGTGTCAGAGATGGCTTCGGATTTAACCACACACTTTACAGTTTTGCATACCACCCCACACACACACTGAATGTGAAATGCGTATGTGTTTTCTAAAATAATCACACTTTCCATGTTTACCTAGTTGTCTGGTAGATTATTTTTCAATCCAAGCTCTAAGTCTGACAAATTGTGTGTTTCAGCAAGTTAGTGTCGTGGGTAGGTTGAAGCTGACCATTTTCTACTCTTCTGCTGCAAAAGCTCTTTTCTTCAAGGTCTTCTTCCCATGGAAATTTGCAAAAGAGTAGGAAGCTGGTATTTTGTTCCGCTACTCTTTATTTAAAGACAGAGGAGCAGTATATCAGGCAACTGTAGGGAGCAGTGATATTTGAATACATATCATTCTGGTGACAAGGAAGAGATTTTTTTTTTTAATGGAGTTTGATGGACAAACTGTTTCCCAGAGTTTCCCCCTCTTTCCAAACTGTTTCACTATTAGTTTAAGACCTCAAAATGCAAATGACTTGCTAAAAAGAGTGCAGATTATAACTAACTGGATTTTTTGACTCCCTATGTATGTATTGAAGGGGTAGCTCACACACAGCTGTTCATATTTTGAACCTTAACAATTCTGTGATTCTTCTGGATATGAAGGAGTCTACACCTTCCTTTTTTTTGGTCATTATAGACTTTAATCAGAATCTTGGCAATTAATATATTAAAAAATAGCAATAGGGCAATTTTTAATTTTTAACCTTTTTCTTGTTCTGATTGCAAGGCCAGTGGTGTCTTTCAAAATGACAGGCCATTGTCATATTAAGGCTGTTCATATATACATATCATAATTCTAAGTTTATAGCCTGCTGCAGGATTCAGTTCAACTGTGGAGAAATGGAGACTGGAGAGTTGATCTTTAAAGTTAGTTGTGGGGTAGCGCTGAGTTAGGGCGTGGGATCCACTGCCACTGTCATAAGAAGTACACAGTAAAGCACTGCTCTTATAATATCATTATATCACCACACTGTCTCAGGCATGAACCCCTTTTGTCTCTTATAAGCTGTTATAGCAGTGTTTGAAGAATTACCATGATCATTCTTTACTCTAGTAATGTACTGGATTACACGGTAGAGTTCAAAATACTGTAAATAGTATAAGAAAACTATTCAGAAGGGGCTATATTATGTATGATTAAGAATTATATTTTGAGAAATTAAATCAGTGACGATGCTGAAATTAATTTGTATACTGAAAAGCAAGTACTTCTGGAAACCTGTGAGAAGTTAGTATTTAAGAGAGACCTTAGCTTCATGCTGTTATATTGTTTATCTTAAAAAAAAAAAAAAAAATTACATGTTCGGCTGTGTGCGCATTACTGTCCTGTGCACAATGTTACATCACTTGGAGGTCGTTTTCTGAAATTCCATCAGGTTGGCAGATCAGGTCATCTCGGGAAGACAGAAAAAAGGCAGTGTAGGTAGGGGGAAAAAATGTGATTCTGTCCTAGAATTGTTGATACTGGTTTAGAAACTTGTTGCTTGCATTGAGACCTAGTTTTATTACCTCAGTGAACTAGACATTTGATCTTGGCTAAATTTTTCAACCCACTGTTTTTTATATTTTCAAAAACTGGCTTTACTGGAAAGCACTCTTGCTCTTGTATGTTATAAATTACTAAAATAACATCCTGTCAGAAAAACACCTAGCTATTTTTATTAATTGATACTAGTATTTATGGTTTGTTTAATAGCAATCTTCAAGTTGATCAGGGCTGTTTACTCCTTTTTTCCTGTTTACTCTGCAAAATAAAGCAAAGAAATGCTCTTTTTGAAGTGTTTCTGATCAATGACTGTTCAGTCTGAATAAGTATAATCAGCTGAAATGCATGAAGGAATAATTTGTTTCCTTCTACTAACAATGTAAGTTTTGTAGTATTGTCTCCCCACTTGTCTTGCGGTATAATCTGAATGTAATTGGATTGGTAGTTGGTACTGAAACAAGGTTGTATCAAAGCAAAGGATAATTTGGACAGAGCACTATGTAAATGCTGGAGACTATATAGCAGAGCTTAATTTCGCAGTGTCTGTGTGGTCCTGACTTACATATGCTAAAAAGTGCATATTCTTTGTTATTCTGCTTGTCGTTTGAGTTCCAGATGAATTAATGTAATTCTTGAAGGGAGGAAGCACAATTAAATTATTTTGATATGCCTTTATGTCCTAAGAAGACATGGGTGCTCAGTACTATTCAGAAAATATTTTGGTTTAGATTCTACGGTCAAGGCTTAGGTTTGTTTTAGGTAGGTGTTACTAAACTATTCCCTTTAAAGCATGCAAAATTAAATTTTCAATTTGTTGTGAGATTTAAGATTGCTTTGCATGAACTTCAACTTGTAAATTTAAGTTGGATACTGACTGTATCTGAAACTGATGTGTTTACTCTTTCAGGAAGAAAAAAGTATAAGGTGGGCATCAAGATGGGATTATATTTTGGAATCCATGCCTCACACTCACATTCAGTGGTTTAGGTGAGAAGAAAGTTTGTCTTCAAGTGTACTGTACTGAAGTGTTTACATTGCAATTTGAATGATGATTTTATTTTTTTTTTTTAAATACAGTATTATGAATTCCTTGGTGATTGTCCTCTTTCTGTCTGGAATGGTAGCTATGATTATGCTGAGGACACTGCATAAAGACATTGCAAGATACAATCAGATGGATTCCACCGTAAGTCTGAAATGTACCTCCTAAAATTTATTTGGAATGTGATTTTTTTTTTTTTCAGCTGAATGTATTTCTGTAACAGGCTACTTAAATGGCAATCTGCTGTATTAAAATAGATATATTTTCCTTTACAGGAAGATGCTCAAGAAGAATTTGGCTGGAAACTGGTTCATGGTGATATTTTCAGGCCCCCAAGAAAAGGAATGCTGTTGTCTGTTTTTCTAGGCTCTGGCACTCAGATCTTAATAATGACTTTTGTTACCCTGTGTAAGTAATAAAGTGGGGAGGGGTTTGTTGAGTACAGATGATCTTTCACTGCTAATCGCAAGGTACTAGTAAAAATAGCAGTTTAGGTTTTGTCTAGAAATTTCTTAAAAGTCTAAGATTAGAAACTGCTGAGCTGATAGAGTAGACATGCAACTTAGTATACACAGATTTTAAGATAACTGATGTACTGGCTTTAAGTCAAATGTATAACTACTTTCCAAAATTGTGCATCTCTGCTTCACAGTTTTTGCTTGCCTGGGATTTTTGTCACCTGCTAACCGGGGAGCTCTAATGACCTGTGCTGTAGTTTTGTGGGTACTGCTTGGAACTCCAGCTGGTTATGTTGCTGCCAGATTCTACAAATGTGAGTAAAAGTTATTTAAGATGACAGGGCTTAAGTTCATTAAAGTAAATTATCATCACGGAACTGATTTTTATTTTCCAGTACTCTTTGTAGTTTCCCTCAGGGCAAGATGGAGAAATGTACTTACCGTTACAACAGAAAACACATATAGAATGCTGACATGGTTACATTGGTTTTGATGCAATCATGCCTAAAGACCCCAAATTGCTCTTGCTACTACGTATTTATGGAATTGGAAAGCAAATTCCATTTTACTAATACTAGGCTCATTACATCAGACAGTTTTGTACTTCTGTTTCCTACAGTTGGGGGTTGGGTATTAACTCGCATTTAGTTTTAGCCATCAGTGTTGCTTGATAACACTTCCCCCCCAATCATGAACCTCTATTCTTACATGCCTGAGATTTGTCACCTCTTTTTAGTTAGTTCCTAGGTCTTTGGGAGAATGGTGCTTATCAGACTGTGGCAGGGGCATAGGGGGAGGGATTTTTAGGTGATCTGTAGTTGTAGAAATCAACCCAGTGGTGTCTGGGCACCTGACAGTAGTTAGTTGATACTGTTTTCCTTAACTGATCCCAGCTAGCTGTTGTTTCAAGGCCTGCCTACCAACTTTAAACGGTTTGCCCCTGTACCCTCTTGTTTATTTTAAGGTGAAGCATGCCATTCCGCATACAGCTTGTACCTTACTCAAGGTACAAGACTCTTTATGACTGAGCGAGATGGATCTTTTGGACTATTTTTAGTTCTTAACATACAGGGCTAGAGGACTTTATTTCTGTACTTCAACTTGGCAGTAGGCATTGGAGTTCTTTCTTCTAACTGTTTTGTAATTTTCATGTGGGGAGAACCACTGGGATTGTATTTTGTAGGGAGTTTTTCCACAGTGGTAGTGATGCGATAGTGAACTATTCCTTGTCCTTCTCTTCAAGCCAATTAGACTTAAATGGAAGGAGACTTTAGGACTAAGAGCATAATTGAGGACAGAATTATTGTTTATATCGTGCTGTATATTATGTGTTTTGAAGGATATTTTGAAGTGTGTTGATGGTAAATTGAATCCAGTATCTTTTTGGTGGAGGTGTAGCTAATAATAATTACATTCCATGTTATACTTATTGGGCATCATTTAGTTGATACTTGAATATTGTGTTTAACTACTAAGACAGTGAGTGACTGATCCAGAGATATTCTTGTTATAACATGGGGTGGTCGATACTCTGTATAGAGCATGTAAACATGAATGTTTCTCCTTATAGTACACAAATAAAATAACGTGAGACAGAAACCAAAATGCAACTGAAAGGCATTTTTAAGTGTTTGCTTTTTTTTTAACGTTGCATTTAAAAAGTGAAACCTGAGTTGAAAGTAAATGGTTAATCTTAATAACCAGTGCTATGTTCTACCAAGATTTTATGAAGAAATAGAAACTTAATTAAAATCACTCTAACCATAATCACTTCTGACTCTTGAAGTAAAGAAGCATGTCATTACGGCAGTGGTCAGATGAAATTGTCAGCTTCACTGAATTCCAGCAGGATATTTTCGTTTGAAAGTATACTGACTATAATTTTTATCAGCGTAGTGCAAATTCATAAAGATTTTCTTAATAAAGCTCTATTTGGTCTTTTGGTACCACCGCTGCTTAATGCTGTTAAGACTCAAGAGAGCATCACTACTTCCTGTAAGCGTGTTAGTCCTTTCTCGTAAGATTCTTAGACAATAATTATTTCAAGAAAACTGTTAAGCTTGCTTTTCACATATTTATGTATTTTTTTCCTACTGAAACCTGCAGTCAAATGCTAGAAAGCTTAAACTCCAGGTTTCAGATGTTTTTAAAGACTTAAAAGTACTGCAAATCCGCTTCTTCCTTTTAACAGATAAAGTGGTCAGAGACCCAGTTTATTTAGTTGGGATACTTTTTCTGACCTTGGTCTGAGGCTTTGCTTTGAAGCTCTGTGATTAAGCAATATGATGAGGGAGTTCAGTTTTAGTACTAAAGATTTAGTTTACTGTTTTAAACTTGGGCACAATAACACATTATTTGAGTATTTGCAAGCTAAGTATAACAGGTAAATGGACTGGCAAATTAATAGTTGTGAGCTTAATGCATGTTTTGATGACTGTCAAATGTTTTAATACAGCATTTGGAGGTGAGAAATGGAAAACAAATGTCCTGCTGACGTCATTCCTTTGTCCTGGGTAAGTTGAGACTATCGCCACAATTAAAAGAATTAAATTACACTTCTCTGACATGCGTAGCTAATTTTTAAGTTTCAGCTACACAAGTAAGTTTCATTACATCGTCTCTTTATTCCAGAAGCTACAAGAATATCATGGCACTTTTGACAGAGATTAATATGTTAATGGCATATCATCCTTAGATATTTTTTTAGTAAGCATTTGTTTACTCTCACCACGTGAAAAGGTTGATTAAGAAAGAGCGTTAGGATAGTAGTAAGTTTTAGACAGGCACACTTTTCCATTGCTTTCTTTTACTCTCTAGGCTGTTTCTCTAACCACACTGTAGTTGGTCTTATATAGTGTCATATACTGTATAACCACTGTGATAAATTTTTCTACTTAATCACAGCAAGCAGTCTTACCCTGAAGTGTAGTTAAGGCAAGCATAGATTTGAAATCGCTTAGTTGGAACGTCAGCTCCTGCTGGAGTTCAATCCCACTAGATTAACAAAGAATTGCTTGTCTGACCTCTTCATTTTGATGTTTTGTGTGTGTCATTTCGCTTTAACAGAGGTTTTCACTAAAATCTTAACACAGTGCTATTGTTTTGTTAACATTATTAAATATTAAGGAGTATTTCTGTGCTTTAAGTGTGTTATGTATTTTTCAGAATTGTATTTGCAGATTTTTTTATCATGAACCTCATTCTCTGGGGAGAAGGCTCTTCAGCAGCTATTCCATTTGGTACTTTGGTTGCTATTTTGGCACTCTGGTTTTGCATATCTGTCCCGCTGACGTTTATTGGTGCCTATTTTGGTTTTAAGAAAAACGTAAGTGTTTCTGAGAAATTGTTTTGTAAGTGTATGTATATGCATATACATATGCATACATACATATATATTTTTTTCACTGTATAGACTATGACTGAGGTAGTACCTAAGGTAGTTGCATTGTCAGCTCCAGTCCTGTTTGGTTACTTCAGAGCTGCTTTAGGTATCTGATCTGGGGATTCTAAGACTTCGATATTCAGTTGGTTGGTGGTGATAATTCTCCGCAATGATTAGGGTTATTATTTTATTTAACTGAGTGACTGCACCAGATAAAGGAGTGATTTGGGCATTCTTTATTTTAATTAGCATCTCTTCCATTACTAAAAAATTTACTTGACCCAGCCAAGCATAAGGGAAAGCAACTTACGCATTTCTGGTTTTCCCCCATGTTTTTTTGTTCCTGTCTGCCCTCTACACTGAGTCTTTAGAAGGGTATTTTTTGATCAAATTGCTAGAGATCTTGTGAAATCTCTTTGCATAAGCATTCTGTAAATTATTATCACAGGCATTAATTGGGATTTACTCCTAAACTGGCCAATTTTACTTATTTATATGAGGGTTCTTTGTGACACTGGTGACCAAACCTTCTTAAATAGTGAAATCAGTTTTTTCCGTTTTTGCCTTAAAAGTGCTTTACTGTGCCCCACAGACTTAAAGATCTATAAGTTCAGATATTTTTGTGGTTTTTTTCCTGTGCAGGAAGCCAGAGTTCTAGCTCTCTATAGCTCTCAGGGAATACCTTCAGAGAATATTTAAGTATCTTAGAAGGCACTTTTAAAGTTGATTGTAGTTATCCACTTTTTCTTAACCAGAATTTAGTGGATTTTTTTTTTTCTGGTAACCAGATTGAAATTCCAGCAAAGCCCCCTGCATTGTACAGAGACAGTTCCTTTAATAAAGGACGATTTGATAAACTATAAGGCAATGTGACAGGTGTCACAAATACGTTAAAATCAAATCAAAGCAAGTACCTAGCAAGTATCTATTGATGCTCTTGATGTAATCTTTACAAAAGGTGCAATACGGCAAAGTACGCATTTATCTGCCTTAAATTTTTTCTCCCACCATGCTGATCTATGTATGCATCTTCAGTTAGTATTTAACTGCCAGATTGAATCCTCTCAGTTTGTAAGTTTACCCTAATGTGATTCTTGGAGTAAATCCTGAAAAACAACACACAGGGATTTTTAGAAGGGGAAACCAAGAGTCTGCACCACCACTACCCCCCAGCTGAAAAGTGAGACATCAGCTCAGGCTCTGTAACAGATCATAGATAGGTAATCATAAAAAGGGAAGTACAAAATATCTGTTGCTATGTTTTCAATAAGAGCTGTGTTTTAGCTTGTTTACCTGGCAAATGCTGGTAGCTAGGCTGGTAGCAAAAGCAAATGTAGTGGTAACTGGGTATGCGCGTGTTCAAAACAAATAATAGACTTTTGCCAGCACTCATTTCAAAAAGAAAGCAAAAAGGTGGTGCTGTAGTTTGTGTTATTTATTTAGCAACTTCTTGTTTTCGTTTAAAGGCTATTGAACACCCTGTTCGCACAAATCAAATTCCTCGTCAGATTCCTGAGCAATCATTCTATACCAAGCCGTTACCTGGCATTATCATGGGAGGGATTCTGCCTTTTGGATGTATCTTTATACAGTTGTTCTTTATTCTCAATAGTATTTGGTAAGTTAACCACGATCTATTTGAATTTTCTCTGTCATAAAATGTTGTAGTTTCTTTGTGAAAGTTTTTCTTCAAGAGGCTTTGACTGATTTTTTTTTTTTTTATGATGATGCAGGGTTGTCAGGTACTGGTGCAATAAAAATTTAAACGCTAACATCTTTTTAACATTTTGTGGTTTAGAAGCTATTCAGTGCCTGTTTTGCTTGTTGAGCTGTGTAGAGAAGTGGCTGTGATATGCGTAGCAATTTACAGCTGACCTACAATATCCAAATAGCTAGTTTTCTCCTGCTACTCCTCTGACTTCCTGTGGAAGTGGCTCTGAAGCTGACATATGGCATATAACTTGAGAGTAGTAAGTATATTAAAATTGACTTGAGGGGTTTTTTTGTAGTTGTAGTTATTGTTGAGCTAGAAAAGTATTACTGCTCTTGGGAGAAAAAAGAAACAAGAACAAATTTTGTGAAATCTTTATAAAGGCACGGGAGAGTAATTCTTTTAAAAAATAAAGCACCAAAGACTAGTCCAGTGTAAGTGAATGTGAGCTCATAGCACACTGACAAACTAATCTACTGTGAGAGATTTGTCTTCCTTCTGGCACAATTTAGTTATTGGATCTTGTTAAACTGTTTCTGAACCTTGAATAGGTGCCGCTACCCAACGTAGACAGCTACAGCATTTGACATTTCTTGTTATTTTGCAGCTCTGCCCCTTTGATTGAAATGTGAGGTGAAATCCAAGTTCTGCTGAAGTCAGTGGAAGAGGTCACGCTGACTTCACTGGAACTGTAATTTCACTCATTATGTGTAGTCAGTTCTTGCCCTAAAATCCCAGTCAGGACCATGCTTTGGGCTTGCTTTCTCGCTATTTTCAGACTGAGCTGCTGAGGCTCCTATTCTTCAGTTAGAAAACAAATCACCCAATTGTATGGCCACGCAACTGACAGTACCTCAGTAGGAAGGGGAATGCTTAAGGTGAAGGTGATATTACTGCATGTGAAGAAATAATATTAGCACAGTGTCCATTTTAATTTTTTTTTTTTAAACTTCCTTTTATAGGTCTCACCAGATGTATTACATGTTTGGCTTCCTGTTTCTGGTATTCATTATTTTGGTTATTACATGTTCTGAGGCCACAATATTGCTCTGCTACTTCCATCTATGTGCAGAGGTAAGAAATATTCTTCAGTATTCATACTTGATATTGTTTTAAGGATGCTTCCAAAAAATGTTAAGGCTTTTGTAATTGGAAGTAAGTATTCCAGAATTCAACATAAACGCCTTTACTAGATGTCCTTAAATCATGTCTTTAGAAAGTGAAGCAGAAGTGAAGCAGGCTACTTTTGGCAAAACTCGTAACAAGCATTAAAACCCTGCACCAAGTACCACTAAGTCAGATACCTCATCTTTAGAGTCTTAACTCCCTGTTTTCTGAAGGTGCTAAACTAATCCATTAACTTTGTCCAAAGTGCGTTTTTGAACATGCCCAACCCTGGGGGGTGGGAAGTCTCTGTGGCTACCAATAGTAGGTCTGGCTGGTTTGGGGTTTTAGATTTTTGCTTATTTGATATTGATCTTTAGGTTTCGTATCTCTAACTGTGAATAGTGTAGTTAATGCAGTATTGATTATATATAGGTTTTTTCCTGTAGATAAAAAAAACTATAAAACCTCACTTTTTGATAAAGTGATAATAGAAAAAGAACCTCTGCATTCAGTAATAGGGTCAGTGCGTTAGAGGTATATGGACTATTACTCATACATATTTTCTTTTCCCACCTCTTCTAGGACTATCACTGGCAGTGGCGTTCGTTTCTCACTAGTGGTTTCACTGCAGTTTATTTTCTAATATATGCAATACATTATTTTTTTTCTAAACTGCAAATCACAGGAACAGCTAGCACCATTTTATATTTTGGTTATACCATGATTATGGTTTTGATCTTCTTCCTTTTCACAGGTAAGTATATTGAACCTTAATTTTAAATGTTGAGTCTACCTTTAGCTTTGCACAGTAGAATCCTAGGCAAAACTTACCCTGATACAGGATCATAAATTTATATATATCTTTAATTTTTTTCCAGGTAGTTGTGTAGCATTTTGCATCTCTCTGATCACAAATTTTAGTGAAAGAGATTAAGTGAGGATGAGGCAAAACTACTGCTAATTTGATGTGTGGCCTATAAGTAGATCTTCAAATATGATGCCTTTAAACGTGATAAATACTTCTCCAGATTTCATTCCTGTGTTAGTCATGTGACAAACTAATTTTTTTAAATTAGTTGTCTTTGGAGAAACACAATCGAGTCTAAAGTTACAGTGTCAGTTAAGGAAAAAATGCAGCTTTTGTGGAATAGGAGGAAGTAAGAGAGAGGAGTAAAAGTTGACAGAATGCTTCCCCCCCCCCCCCCCCTCTCTTCTTTTTTCTCTTTCGCCTTACTGACTCTCTCTTCTGAAACGGCTTTACCTTCTTTCCCAATTGCATTGAAGTGGCAGGGGAAGCAGACAGAACTTTTTAACCATTTTTTGCTGAAGTCATGTCAGAACCTTGTCATCTTTATTGTGAGCTTTTCCAAAAGCTCACATCTTAGGTGCTGCACTTCAATTTCTTCTTCAGTAAGTGAGATGAGGTGACAAAATCTTCCTTTGTCATCTTCAGTACTAAGAAGGAATCTTCAGTCAGACACACTTACCCCTTGTCTGGGGTGCCGGAATGACAGTGAAAGATGCAAGAAGTCTCCTTTCAAACTCTCATGCAAGAAGGCAACAACCACCAACTCCCCAAAAATCTTAAAAATATTAAATTCTGTTCCAGCAGAATGTAATCAATCTTATAGAATCATAGAATCGTTAAGGTTGGAAAAGACCCTTAAGATCATCGAGTCCAACTGTTAACCTATCACTGCCGAGCCCATCACTATACCATGTCCTCGAGCACCACATCTATCCGTTCTTTACATACCTCTAGGGATGGGGACTCAACCACTTCCCTGGGCAGCCTGTTCCAGTGCCTGACTACCCTTTCAGTGAAGAAGTTTTTCCTAATATCCAACCTAAAACCTCCCCTGGCGCAACTTGAGGCCATTTCCTCTTGTCCTGTCACTCGTTACAAGGGAGAAGAGGCCGACCCCCACCTCGCTACAGCCTCCTTTCAGGTAGTCGTAGAGAGCAATAAGGTCTCCCCTCAGCCTCATCTTCTCCAGGCTGAACAACCCCAGCTTCCTCAGCTGCTCCTCATAAGACTTGTGCTCCAGACTCTTCACCAACTTCATTGCCCTCCTCTGGACACGCTCCAGCACCTCCATGTCCTTCTTGTACTGAGGGGCCCAAAACTGAACACAGGACTCGAGGTGCAGCCTCACCAGTGCCGAGTACAGGGGCACTATC